AAAAATGTCATGACACTATGACACACCATCCATAAAAAGACTCCTCTAGCTTCATCTATACTCCCAGAGCCCTGATTTTATTCAGAAAGACAACTTACCGAACTGAAAAAGCACCCTCCCTTCCCTGGCTCTTTTGCATCTATGTGCAGTCATACAACTAATTACATGTCATGTGGTATTTAATTCTTCTTAGGAAGCCCCTGACAGGGACCTTTTTTTATGTTTGGAATATGAATATGATGGCTGGAACTCTAGCCATCACGACTTTGAGGACAGTAGCCATGTACTGAGGATGGCAGATAGGCAGATCCTTGCTGATTCACAGGGCAGCCCTGAATGGTCTACCTCCAGACTTCCTTTACATGAAAGAAAAACAGTTGTTTTTATTTTTTAGACAGAATCTCACTGTCACCCAGGCTCTCCCCCCAAGGTGCGATCACAGTTCACTGCTGCCTCAAACTCCTGGGCTCAAGCAATCCTCCTACTCAGCCTCCCGAGTAGCTAAGACTACACGTACATACCACCACACTGGCTACTTTTGCTTTTCAGAGATGAGGTCGCACTACATTGCCCAGGCTGGTCTCAAACTCCTGGTTTCAAGTGATCCTCCTGCCTCGGCTGCCCAAAGTGCTAGGATTACAGGTGTGAGCCAATGCACCCAGCAAAAAAAACTACCGTGTTTCCCCGAAAATAAGACCTACCCATAAAATAAGTCCTAGCAGGATTTCTAAGCATTTGCACAGTAGAAGCCCTACCCCCAAAATAAGGCCTAGAGATGGGCATGGCTACGCAGCGCATCTGCACAACCCATGCATTTCCTCGCGGAGCGGTAAAGACGATGAGCAGCCCTTCTCACCTTCCCCATGGTGACAGCTACTATCCCAGAGGTGACCAGAAAGGTACAGGCAGCCCCACCAAGAAGGTCAGCTCCCCCTGTCAGGTCCCAGCCATCCTGTGCATGCTGCAAGCTGAGGCTTTGAGGGGAAAATAACACATCCCCTCAAAATAAGCCCTAGGGTATCTACTTGAGGAAAAATACAGAAATGAGGTACTGGTTCATGTTAAATCATGGCTGGACCCTGAAAACTTCACACTAAGTAAACAAAGCCAGTCAGAAAAGATCACATACCATATAAATTCATTTATATGAAATGTCCAGAATAGGCAAAGCTTCAGAGACAGAAAGTAGATTATTGCATAGGACTGGGGGAATTGGAGTGGGCTCCTGTCTTATTTTTGGGGAAGCATGGTATTAATGTTACTTTGAGTTTTATACAACATAAATCTTACTAATTCAGAAAAGTTAAAAGATAAAGGTAAGGAAATCTCCAGGAATATAGATCAAGAAAATACATCAGAAAATAAATAAGAAATAGTAAAAATCATAGAGCATAAGTCTAGGGGTTTCCAACATCAGATTAAAAGGGGCTCCTGGAAAAAAAACAGAGGGAAAGAAATGATCAAAGACATAATACAAGTAAATTTCCTAAAATTGAAAGACTGCCTACTGAGTACCTGGCTCAAAAATGGGAAGTACAACAACATATTCCAATGCTCATCAATGTGAAATTGAAGAGCATAAGGAATAAAGAAGAAATACTAAGGCCAGGTGTGGTGGCTCATGCCTGTAGTCCTCTGGGACTACCAAGGCAGGTAGATCAATTAAGGTCAGGAGTTCAAAACCAGCCTGAGCAAGAGCGAGATCCCATCTCTACTAAAAATATGGAAAGAAATTAATTGGCAAACTAAAAATATATATAGAAAAAATTAGCTGGGCATGGTGACACATGCCTGTAGTTCCAGTTACTTGGGAGGCTGAGGCAGATGGATCACTTGAGCCCAGGAGTTGGAGGTTGCTGTGAGCTAGGCTGACGCCATGGCACCCTAGTCTGGGCAACAGAGTGAGACTCTGTCTCAAAAAAAACGAAAGAAAAAATACTATAACTTAAGAGACAAAAACACAAGTTGCACGACAAAAGATAGGGAATTAGGCTGGGCGCGGTGGCTCATGCCTGTAATCCTAACACTGGGAGGCCGAGGCCGGTGGATCACTCAAAGTCAGGAGTTCGAAACCAGCCTGAGCAAAAGCGAGACCCCGTCTCTACCAAAAAAATAGAAAGAAATTAATCGGCCAACTAAAAATATATAGAAAAAATTAGCCGGGCATGGTGGCACATGCCTGTAATCCCAGCTATTCCGGAGGCTGAGGCAGGAGGATTGCTTGAGCTCAGGAGTTCCAGGTTGCTGTGAGCTAGGCTGATGTCGCGGCACTCTAGCCCAGGCAACAGAGTGAGACTGTCTTGAAAAAAAAAAAAAAAAAAAGATAGGGAATTAGAATGATATCAGAGTACTCGTGCCAGAAGATAATAAAGAAATAGATTTAAAAATGGTTCTTGAAAATCATTCCTGGGGAAAATGATTTATGATCTAGATTCCTTACCCAAACTATCAATCAAGTAGAAGGACAAAAAAAAACTTCAAATATGCAAGGCCATTTATCCACCATGCATCTCTTCTTAGAAAGTACTACAAGATACGTTCCAGCAAAATGAAGGTGGCACACCAACAAAGAGAGAAACATGAGATGTGGTCAACTGCAAACTCAAGATGGGAGAGTCTCGGGACGGCGACTGGAGGGCAAGCCTAGAACAGAACCCACTGAATGGGAGCAGAACAGAGCCTTCCAGGAGGCAGTGTTCCAGGTGAGAGGAGAGACTGATAAAGTATCTAACAGTTTGAGCATTTGTGAAAAAAATTTCTTTAAATTTTATATGATGGTTATGACAAAGCAATTTGTAACATTTTAAGAATAGGCTTAATTTGGGAATGATAGTGGATCATTGAGTGAAAAAAAAAAAGAATAGGCTTATTTAAAAGTGTGAAGTTTAAAAAGCCACTTATTTGCAAGAAAAAACAAAAAGCTGTACAACAAATAAAATGTAATCAAAATACTCTTCTTAGCTCTCTGGTGCTCAATCTACTTGTTAAAAAATGTAAATATTTTATTGCTTTTACCAAATTACTGGATCTGATTACATTGGGATGATGAGGGGGAAAGTAGTGTAACACAGCTAATATTTTCTACCATAATGGAATGAACATACAGTCTTAGTCATGACATCAAGATATCACAATGTAAGCATATTATTTAGAACTAAAAGCCCAGAACAAACAGCTGAATTTACAGGCCTGCCTCGGGATTGGAACTGAGGTATGGGCAGAAGTAGGACAAGAATCTGATCCTTTTCATTACTGTTTTTTAAAATAAGTATTGTATTAATAATCTTAACTATGAACAAGAATTGATTTTAAAAGATCAAGTAAAATAAAATATTATCTATTTTTCCTCATAGCATAGATTAAAACTCAGACCTTCCAGGATGATAAAGACCTTCCAGGATCTAACTCACTTTCCCACTTTTGTTTCCTATTATTCCCTTTCACACCTTCAACCATGACTTCCCCTCTGGAGCCCACTTCCTTCTGCCTTACATAACTCAGATACTCACCCAGACTGTAGCAGCCTTTCCCATCTCTGCCTGACAGATCTGTCCATCCCTAAGGCCAATTTCCACTCTGCTGGCAGAGTACAAACACTGAGCATCTCATAGATCAGGCCCTGGGTCTCAGTCCTAGCACTTGCCTCTCCTGGAGACAGCCAGACCCTCCCAGGTTAGCTGAGGAAGGCAGCTAGCCAGAACCTGCAGGCCACCTAGAATTACACACAAACTTCTGTGTGAACATGCCGCTTTCTAGGAAAAGTAAAGCTTTCAGATTAGCAAAGGAGTCTGGGAGCCAACAGAGGGTAAGAATCTCTGAACAAGGGCTGGGCACAGTGGCTCACACCTGTAATCCTAGCACTCTGGGAGGCTGAGGTGGGAGGATCGCTTGAGCTCAGGAGTTTGAGACCAGCCTGAGCAAGAGCAAAACCCCGTCTCTACTAAAAATAGAAACAAAGTAATTGGCCAACTAGAAATATATAGAAAAAATTAGCTGGGCATGGTGGCGCATGCCTGTAGTCCCAGCTACTCAGGAGGCTGAGGCAGCAGGATCCCTTGAGCCCAGGAGTTTGAGGTTGCTGTGAGCTAGGCTGATGCCACGGCACTCTAGCCTTGGCAACAGAGTGAGACTCTGTCTCAAAAACAAACAAACAAAAAAAGAATCTCTGAGCACAAGGCTTTAAAAGGAGAGTTAACAGAACTGAGGGAGCAGGAAGGGCAATGTGGCTGGAACCACCCAGCCTGGTGTCTGGATGCTGAGAATATCCCAAGCCTCGCAGACCTGACCTCCGGCATGTCCTCACCACTGGCGCAGTTTGCACGTGCTTGTCTGACTCTCTCCCCTGCATCCCTTTGCTGCGTGTACCTGGCAGGTATGGTAAGCTCCCAGAGCAGGTACTGTGTCTCCAGGTCTTAGAGGAGGCGTTTCTGAGCACCTGCCCAGGGTTGAGGTGGGTGGAGAAGCAGAGGCCAACTCTATGGGCTGGGCTGTTTGAGAAGACAGGTGGGTGTTTTGGGGAGGGAGACTGGCCTGGGAGCAGTGGTGGCTGGGTGACCCATCCTCACCCCACACTCCCCTCTCCCAGCTCCAGCCAGTCAGGTGCCTTGCGTATGAGGCTGGAGGACCAGCTGCCCCACTGCAAGCCCCAAAGCAATACAGGTTCTGCCAAAGACCTGGTGACAAAGGCACTGCATGCTGGCCTTTCACCCAGCCCCCAGTGTCTCTGGAAGTCTTCTTCTGCACTACACCTCCTACGGCTCCTCCCCTGCCCGGCCCAGCTGCCATCACTTGTCAGGCAAGGCCTCACTCCAGCAGCCCAGCGCTAGGCACCTGGCCCCTGGCGCAGCTCCCACTGGCCACAGACTGTGTGCGTGCCCACCCCTCACGGCACCGCCTCCCCCGCTCTCTCCTCTGGCAAGGGCACCCTCTCCCACTCCCCCTTCTCCCCACTCTCACGGACACACAGGTAGCTGGAAGGAAGGGTTTATCAAAGGGCTTACCCAGAACTTCACGAGAAAAAAGGCATTGGAGGGTCCCCGTTCAAAGAGCTCCTTGAGTCCACCCTTTTTCTCCGGGAACTTGTCATAGATCTGGCGGATGTCCACGGCTTCGAGGTAGGGGTCGCTGTAGCTTGGGCTTGACTGGCCGATGTGCACGAACAGGTGCTTGTTGTACTATGGGGAGAGCAGTGGGCTGAGGGACAGAACGGAGCGCATAGCCAGGCTCGTGCGCACCCACCATGTGACCCAGAGAAGTCACTGCACCTCTCTGGGCCTCAGTTTCCCCACAGGTAAAACAGAGACAGTAGAAGTCTATTTCTTTTATCTACTGGGCTTCTGAGTAAGAGTCTGTCTAGCTAATGGGCTCCTCAGCTAAAAGGTAAGTTTGAACATGTCAGAGTGAAACGGTCTCTGGCATCCAGTCAGCCTGGCCTCCGCTAGCTGCCCATCTGGCCTCTGCGGGCGAGGCTGGTCACCCAGGACGCTGGACACCGAGGGGCGCTGGTGTCCTGCAGGGTGTGGGGCAGACACAGGAGGCCCGCGGCTCCCTGGCTGCCCCTGGAGGCAGGGACAGGCTGGGCTGGCCTGGGCTGCAGGGACTCTGGGTGAGAGCTGGTCGGCTGGGTGGAGGGCGGGAGACTGCCCCGGAGAGCTGGAGTCGGGGAGGAAGCCCCGAGGAAAGAGCCGGACGGGATGCAGGAGTCTGCGGAGGAAGGGAAGATGGGAAAGGAACAGGAAACCCGAGCCAAGGCCCAAAGCGGAGTGGGCAGAGGAGGGGGGCACGAAGGCCACAGTGGGCAGAAAAGAGTGGAGCCGGGCAGGCCCCAGGCAGGACCTACCGTGTCTGGGTCCTGCTGCTGCTCCAGGAAGGCAGAGAACTCCAACATCCAGAGCTTGGAGCTGGCCACGCTCCGGCCCTGCCATGGGGGTGCCGGGGGTGCTGAGGGTGACGGCATGGGCCCCGCAGGAGACTCGAACCCTGCACATAATGGGAGACGCACATGGACCTGTCCACAGACACCCTCCCTGCCAACCCTTCTTTGAGGACCCCAGGCCTCCTCGGAGAGACCCCATGCTGGCTGGGGGACCGCTCATCCTGCTAGGTGGGCCTCCTGGCAGCGTGGTTGAGGGCAGTGCCAGGCACGGGCCAGAGCACCGGGGCAGCCCCCGTGGAGAGGGGCTGGCCTGACCCGCTCAGTCTGCTCAGGCCTCTGCACAGAACCACACTGCAGAGAGCTGGACCACGCCGGCGGCCGTGGCCCACAGGGCGGAGAGGGCTTCCGGGCAGGCCCCATTAGATCCCCGTCCGCAGCAGTGCCTGGCCCAGTCGGGGAGCTAGCCAGAGGAGCCAGCTATGCAAGACAGCGTCAGCCCCAGGAGAGAGGGATGTTCCCTGTTTCCCCACACCCAGAGCAGGGGCCCGCCCAGAAGAGGCACCCGACACGGGGCAGCTGACGGGAATGGACGACCGAAGAATGTGATGCGTGTCGACGAGGCGGCCGGCACCCACGCCAAAGGAGCTCCTCGGCCACCTAGGGGCAGCCAGGGTGTACGGGGTGACGCGGGGAAGGACATTCCACGCAGAGGAAGCATGCAGGGCTGTGGACCAGCCTGCAGGGTTTGGAAGCTCATGCGGTGGAAACGCACAGAAGGGTGGGTTTGGGCCCCCGGCAGGAGGCCAGGCTGAAGGGTCAGGTGGCAGGGGTTCAGTGAGACAGCACGGAGTCTACCCTGAGAGCCCAGGGACGTTGCTGAGGGAGTTTAAGCAGGGTAGTGAAATGGTGAGATGTGCATTTCTGAAAGGTCCCTTTCCGGTGTGGGTAGGCGGGTGAGAAGTGAGGTCCTGTGCTTTCCCGGAGGAAGGTGAAGGAGGCCTGAAGTGCCACCGTGCAGGGAGGAGAGCTCGGCAGTCAGCGACTGTGGCACGAGAAGGGCCCTTGGGGCAGACTGTAGGTGACCCCGGTTTTCCCATCTGGGGGTCTACGGAGGGGTGGGCCCTGTGCCAAGGCAGGGAACCCAAGAGCAAGTGGAAGAGCAGACACAGGGAGACCTGGCAGAGGCGGGCCATGCTGGACACACCAGTTGAAGCAGGTGTCTCATCTGTCCCATCGAGGCTTACTGAGGGACCGCTGTGCACTGCACAGACACCAGCCAGTCACAGGCACAGACAGGCAATGACAACAAAGAGTGCCCAGTGCTGAGTGCAGGCGGGCACAGCGCCCTCGGGAGGCAGGCAGCAGCAGGCACCTAACCTGGGTGGCAGCAGGCGAGAGACACCTTGCCCCAGAAGGCCGGGCCCAGCCTCGGCCAGAGGCAGGTGGGAGCGGGCGGATACGAGGAAGCACAGCTAACTGGAGAAGGGCTCCAGGCTTACTAGAGAGTTCAGATCCCCAGGGAAGCGCTCGAAGCCTGGTGAAGCCTGGTGGCGGTCGCTGGACAAGGAGAGGAGACCAAGGGTGCACGGAGCCCACGAGGAGGCTGCCACGGTCACCCAGGCAGAGTGGCAGGGCTGGGGTGAAGGCAGGGGCAGTGTGGACACAGAGAGGGTGGACTACACCTGGCCTAGTGACTTGATTTCGATGTGGGGATGAGAGAAAGCTGCACCCAGGGACCTGTGGGACAGCAGGGCTGCTCTCGGCACAGGTGAAGCCCGAGGGGCCAGGGGCCAGACTGTAGGCAGCTGGCCAGTCTCCATGCCCGAAACAGTGGTTAAGGGCAGGGAGGCCATCCCAGGAGCCCAGGTGTGTGAGGCGCACATATAGCAACAAGGGTGGGCAGGTGGAGCAGCTGCCCAGACACAGGCACTGCCCTGTGAGCTGCATGTGTCCCACAGACGCTGGCACCGCTGGGGAGGGACCAATCGAGGCACCCCAGGGGGCAGGAAGGGGCCTGGAAAATGGCAGAGGTGTGCATGCTGGGGGCAAAGAATGGGCAGTAGCCAGGAGAGCGGCTGTATGGTCTCGGGACACAACAGGGAAGCTTTATCTACTTACCGTGCGCTGGCTGCTCCCTGGCACACACTTTGAAAAGCGCTGGGTGGAGCTCAGGGCCCGGCGTCCCTCCCACACGCCGTAGGGCGGTGCTTGGCATGCCTTAGTGCCAGAGCCAAGAAAGGCCCCGTGAGGAGGCAGCTCTGGGAAGGAGGAGCTTTCTGGACCACTTTGCAAGTGTGGCAACCTGCCTATAGCCAAGAAATTTAAAATCCAAGCAAGGGTTTGTTCCTGGACATCAGCTCTCCGCCTGGAAGGAAGGCAGGTCTGAGTCCCCTGGGCGAGACGAAGCAGGGATGAGTCAAGTGGCACAGGCTGCTCAGGACAATGCCCGTGCTGTGCCAGGCCGCAGACTTCAGCTTCCCTCATCTGGATAAATATGGCTCACTCTGCAGAGCTACCTGTTGGCCAGCTCATGGGCACAAACCCCTTTTCCCTTGTGAAAGTCTGCTGAGGGCACTGTGAGGACCCCAAGAAGGTGGTTACAATACCGCCAGAGCTGTACTCAGCAAGGCCCCTGGTCCTTGTCCCTCTCTCCCCATTTCCTGCCTGAGAAAATTACACCAGCCAATGTTCTGGCTCTTCTGAAGTGGAGAGGGAGAGAGGCTGTCCTGGCCTCTGCTCTCATCAACCCACTACCCCGAGATGCTGGCGGCCTGGCTCTGGGCGAGGGCCATGCACCAGATGGAAGGCTGTGGCGGAGAGATCTGTTGCGGATCGACATGGCAGGCCATGCTCTGCAGGGCCTTGTCCCTGGCTGGCCTGTCCTGGGGAGACCAGTGGCAGACAGGCCTTCATCAGGGAGTGCTCGTCAGGCTGAGCGAGTGGGTCTGAGCTCAGGGTCAGGATGCTCACCCACTGCCAGTGGCCAGAAGCTGGGACCAGCTGGTAAGCCCGTGCAGCCTATAACTTGTTTTGCCACTGAGCAAGTCACTGGTTTCCCTGATCAGTTTCCTCATCTGTCAAAGGGGCCTAAATACTGCCTTGCCTGTTTCATCAAGCTTGAAGAGAGGTTGTAGACTGTCTGCCACACGGCATCTGTCTTTTACTAACACGGCACCTTGACGACAGGCTCTTCTATGCTCGCTCACCCCGGCACCATGGGGACCTGGCTCAGTACCTGCCTTGTGCAGATGATGTAATAAATACCTTTGGATCCCTCCTCAAACATACAGGAGGGATTCATCCCTGGCACATGGGCTGTCGGAGGCAAGAGGCCAGTCTCCTGGCCCGCCTGACACTGTGGGACAAGGGGCTCACCAACTCTCACCTGTCAGAATTAAAAACTGCTGTATGCTGCCCTCCACCTTTGAGGTCAAAGACCTCAAAGACAGGTTCACTCTGCACAGGCCCTGCACAAATAGACACTTAGGAGAGCCATTTGTATGACACTTGTAGTAGCAGTAACATCTCCTATACTTGTACAAGCTAGAGTGCTAGTCCTAGCTCTGTAATCCCAAAGGCTTTCAAACCAACGAGACAACATTACTATTTCAAAAAGCCTAATGAACTTGTGTCTTGTTCACTGTGTGCAGCTTTGTTGGGCTACATGGTTTGATTGCATCAACTCAGGAGCTCCAATTAGAAACTCCTTTATCTCAGCCAGCGTGGTGGCTCATGCCTGCAATACAAAATCTTTGGGAGGCTGAGGTGGGAGGATGGCTTGAGACTAGGAGTTCAAGACTAGCCTGAGCAGAGCAGACCCATTTCTACAAAAAAATAGAAAAATTAGCAGGCATAATGGCATGCACCTGTAGTCCTAGCCACTTGAGAGCTGAGGCAGGAGGATCACTTGAACCCAGGAGTTTGATTGCTGTGAGCTATGATGACGCCCTGCACTCTAGCCTAGGCAACAGAGCAAGATCTTTGCTCAGAAAAAAAAATGCTATATCTTTATGATGAATTGTTTTAAATGGTAAACATAAACGAACTATTATTTGATACTTAATAATATTAACTTGGTAGACCCAAATCTCGTTGAGTGATAGGAGGATGAGAACAACAGAGATCCTTGCAGCTCACAGGCACTGCTGCAGGGAGACTTCACTGGTCCGCACACCAGCCCCGAGAGGGTTGGCATCGTGGCCGAGGCCCAGAAGAGTATAGGTGGCCCAGCCAGCGTCCTAGCGCTGCGTGGCTATGCACTCAGAACATGGCAGGCCTCCAATCATCCTCTCAGGGTAGCACAGGGCAGCTTTAGAGGTTTCGAGAATGCCACCTCACTGAACCCTGTGAGGTTGGTGGGACCAGTAAGATCTCGATTTTAAGATGAAGAAAGTGTGGTTCAGAGAATTGGGGCAACTAGGTGCTGCCAGTGTGACGGTGGGCCTGTGAACTCGGCCCACGCTGCACAGAGGGCTGTGCAGACCAACAGCACCAGCATGCACCAGAGAGGGCATGGGGGCCGTTCTGAGAGGTGGGGTCATCCTCAACTTGGAAAATGCAGTGGAAGCTGA